TTCGGTTTTTCTTTGAAAAAGGGAAAAACCAAGCATGGTTGTAGGTTCTTAGGACCAGAAGTCTTAATTCTATCTGAAATCTTGATTTCTATGTTGGAATCTGTTATTTTTATATTATCTAAACGAATATTTGATAGAGTTTGCACTCTGTGACCCGTAGTTAGGGCCATCAACGTGACTAATTTTAAAGTTAAGTCTTTCAATGACACTTTTTCCAAAGGAAACAACTTTTCTAAATAAACCAGTACTGGATTTGGATCCCATGTAGAAGAATATTTTGGCTGAGAAGGATTCATTTTGAATGCCCCTTTCATGAAACTTCGAATAGTTTTCTCTTCGAGCTCAGAAAACTGAAAAACCAATACTAAAGCTGATCGATGACTATTTAACGTTGAATAGGAAACTCGTAAATCAATAAGTGATCTCAAAAAGTCGATGATATTATTAAAATCGTGAACAAATGATCTAATTCATGTTGTTGACAGAACAACCACCATTTGTTGAAACATGCATTATACTGTTTCAACGTATTTTCGCTCAATGAGGCTAATAATATTGGAATAGCGGAATCTGGGATATGTTTCTTTTTGAGTGCTGCCCCGACAAAATTCCTGCAACCAGGGTAAGATCCTTGTGGAGCGGATGACTCTTTCTGAAAGGGGATACAAGCAATTCAGGACTAGGATTAAAATACATAGTTTTTGTTGCCATATTATGGAATAGAGGGTACCAGGGCTGCGTTGGCCAAAGCGGCACTATTACTATACCGGTTGCATCATCATTCAAAATTTTTTCTAATACTTTAGCTATGATGGCAAATGGAGGGAATGCATAAAAATAAAAGCATTTCCAAGGTATCGTGAAAGCATCTACATATAGGGAATTAGGGTCTGGATACCATGAAACATAATTTTTACATTTAGTATTCAAGTTAGTTGCGAACAAATCAATATCTGGATTTCCAAATTCCTTACAAATTAACTTGAAAACTTTATCTGATAATTCATATTCGGTTGACACTGACTGAGATCTCGACCCAAGGTCTGCCTCAATATTATCAGAGGAGCTTATATATGAAGCAAATATATTTAATTTTCGCTCTTCGCACCAATTCCAAATTTTCCTTGTTATGCAATTCAAGTTTTCGAATTGAACACTACCCATCTTGTTGATGCACGATATAGCTGTGATATTATCTAGCCTTAATAATATAGAAGTATTTAGATTGTTTTTTGTGAATGTTTTTAGGGCATAAAAGGCTGCTAAAAGCTCTAGATAATTGATATGATGTATTTTCTCTGTATCACTCCAGAACCCATGTGCCCCAGCAAACGCTCCCCAGCCTGTTCTAGAAGCGTCAGAAAAAATTTCCAACTCGAAGGGTTTCTGTTTAATATATTGGTAGGATTCCATAATATTTCTCAACCACCATTCGAAGTCTTCTTTCAGAGAGATATTAACAGCCATTGATTTGTTATAATTTTTATTGTTGAGGTGTAGAGCTAAACTTTTTGCTCTTTCAAACTTTTTGGTGTAGAGCCAGCCGTATTGAACTGCTGGACAAGCTGCAACCAGCAGTCCTAGTAAACTTGCAAACTCTCGTATCTTACATACACTTTTACTATACATTTCTTTCAATTTATCAAAAATTTTCAATTTTCTGTCAACAGGCAATGAAATTATCATTGAATCACTCCTAAAATGGAAACCTAAATATATTATTTCACGAGATGGAATCAAGGTACTTTTCTCATAATTAATTCGGAATCCTGAGGATGTTAAAAGAACTATAGTTGTTTTTGTATTGATTTCGCATTGAGATTTTGTGTTACTTATGATCAAAAGATCATCCAAATAAGCTATACATAATATATCCTTGAGCCTCAATGATTTCAAAACAGGTTTTAATAATTTCGTGAAGATATAGGGAGCTATATTAAGACCAAATGGCAAGCAGTTGAATTCGAAAAGATTATTCTCAAATTCAAATCTTAAATATTTCCTATATTTTTCATTCACTGGAACTGAAAAATAAGCATCTTTTAAATCTAAATTAGTAAAGAAACAATTTTGTGTAATTAACTTCTGGACCATTCTTGTATCTTCAAGTTTGAAATGTGGTGGTGTTATGAATTTATTCAAATTCTTTAGATTCAAAATAAAACGAAAATTACCATTTGGTTTTTTAACAAGGAAATATGATGATAAAAATTCACCATTTTTGTGCTGACATGAAGAAATCGCTCCATCATGCAATAAATTAGAAACAGCCTGTCTCATATAATTCAATTCCTTTTCTGAAATGTGTATCTTAGGTGCTCGAAACTGTAATGGTGTTCGTTCGAAAGGTATTTTCATTCCCTGAACCCAACCTAATACAGATTTATCTTGAGTAACTCCTTCCCAATGTGTATAAAACAATTTTAAAGCACCTGCATATACGTTTCGTACCTGAATCAACGACGAGTTTGATATCGAGTCCTCTGGGGGTCCTTCTGGTACCTGTTGTAGCGGTGTGACCTTTCCACTTCTCCCCTCCCTTTTTTCAGTTTTGTCCTGAATTTGGGGCGCTGGTAGTTTAAAGACCCAGGAAGTGTCTGGACGGTGGTCCTTGGAGTTGAAGTCGAAGGTCCCGGCCTAGGCTGCCAAGTTTTATTTGGAGTCTTCATTTCTGATCCCGCTTTTCTGACAGCAATGTTGGTTTTCACTTTTTCGTGGAGATCAGGACCAAATAAAAATTCCCCGATTCCCGCTTCTTAGAAAACTTTTTTGATGTCAGCTTTAACGTGAGGCATAATGACGTAACGTCTATGAGCAGACAGAGTGTTATGAAGATTTATTAATATTTGAGCTGAATCTGCCATCACGCCAAGGGGTTCTTTGTTCGCTTCTGGATCCTCCAGAAACTGACTCATCAGAGATCCTATTGCAGTTAAACTAGAAGCTAATTCTTCTTGACACCGAGCGAAAAATTTATCTTGTCTTAAAACTGGTTCAGGTAGGCAACTTGGAAGCTCCAGGTTCAACTTTGGAGGGTTCAGACCTGGACAATTTTCAGCAATTGGATATTTTCCTAGTAATTCTTTTTTAACTTCTTTGTCTATCCCTTTTTCTAGGTAAACTGTCCATCGCACGACAAGCTCTTCATGCAATATAATAGAATTAGCTTTAGGTACAGTGGGATCAGCGCCTAGTATTGCTGTAACAGCTGTAACAGGAGGTGTGTCCACATGTACCTGAGCCTGAGTTGTCTCAAGAATAGGTCCTGTTTCGGATTCAGATGTATCTGTAGGGAAAAAGAAAAAGTATAAGTGGCAGGACACACGTCCGCCCGATCGTATATATGGTAAGTCACGTGACTACCCGATCGAATATGATGCTGATTCTGACAAGATGCAAAAACAGATTTGCCTCTAGGCAAGTCACAGGACTGCCGTATATTTCCAAACAGGGAATTGAAAATATAAGTATGTAGGTATGTACCTCACTGTATAAACGTTTATACTACGGGTTTTACCTTGATCGGATGACTGGGATAGGTCAAACTGCCTTTCTAGACGAGCTATTTTCTTCCTGAGTTTTTCAAATTGCATTTCCCTCTTCCTCTTATTTCTCTTCTTTTTCCGGTTTCTATCACTTTCACTTTCACAGTCGGAATCAAATTCCGAAGAACTAACCGTTGTCATAATCTCTCTCGGCATTTTATTTTAATTTCAACGTACGCGATGCGCTCAATTTAGGCACAACAGATGAAGTGAGGTATTCGGGCAAGTATCGTTATCAGCTAGCAAAAAATTCCGTACGTTTTTATGTTGTGCCAAATTAGGTAGAACTGATGTTACTACAGGGTGAATCATATGGAACGGCGACACGAAGAATAATGAAATTTATTATTTAGTTATTCGTATGTCACATACATACGGATCATCCTGTATAGCTGACATCTAAATTGTTGAATATACAGTACCTCCGAAAAAGTTGGCAACAAACGGAAAACTTTTGATTATCAATTTTAGGAAACAAGTAATTCCTCATAAAAATAAATAAATAAAATAAATATTAAGTTTTTCATTTGTCTAACTTTTTCAGACAGTCCTCATTGCGTGCAAAATTTCTTGAATCTCTCACTGGTAATACATTTTGTAAACACTCACCAGAAATTCTAGAAGTTTCGTTTCGACGATCAAATGGCACTGGAAAAATGCTTGAGCAAATTTTCACTGTCCTCTCACTAATTTGAAACCACCGGCTTTTTAAACACATGCACAAATACACACAACACACACCAAAAGCACCACTGTCACATGTCATTCAAATCAAACATCATTTACGCATGTTTTCATCTCGAGATTCCGAACAATACTGACGAATCGGACGAATTTACCTGATTCATTTCTTTATCTCGCATTACTCATTCTGTACTAGTTTATTCATTTTATCAAAATCTTAGTCATGCAACTGTACTGAATGAAATACGGGGTGATTATACTGAATCATAACGAAAATGTAATTATAGGGTGTTGCTCTGTTGTCTCAACTAATAAACAACAAATATTTTACTTCATTCATTCCCCAATACAACATAATTCGTAAAGGGGATTTCATTTATTCTGGGAAAGTTTTATTCCTCATAGTTATAGATATCAAGGATTTAATAGTTCGTTAAGAAACTACAGTGCATTATTATGAGCCAGGACAAGTTTTTGTGGAATTTTGAGATGAATGTTACTCATTGCGAAAATATATTGTTTTTTTCAATAAGAAATGTATGGAATATTTATTGCTCACCGAGTATTTCATGATACCCTGTATTCCAAAAACAAATCATTTCTTCTCGATATTGTTCAAATTCCAAGATATCAAAAATTACACCCTAAACTGGCATCTGTCTGTATCTGACAAATAATTATCCAGTTTGCGAGGAATCATTTATCTTCATCTATAAATGAACTAATGAAAATTGAATACCTACACATCTGAATTTTTTCTTTGTTATTCAGGTCAAACTCCAATTATTGCTGCACCTACAGATGCGAAAACCCTAGAAAGGCTGCAAGAGCGCAGCTACGTCAGAGACTGGCAAAGATTAGGGTTATGTAACAGCAGTTCATCGCCTTCAGGCAAATCTGGTCACGATCAGTTCAGACTGACCACCGTCAATTCCATATACATGATGTGCAGAAGGTGAGTCTCATAATACCATCATCGTCAATTTGATGGAATGTTTAATAATAATTGCTTCTAAGAATGGTTTTGAACTCGTTTTAACAGGTGAAAAAGAGCTCAAAATGAGTACGACTTTGTATTCTTTATTTAATATTCTTCTAGAATCAATTTATCTGAAATTATACCTGTAATATGCTTCAAAACTTGATCACATATAGCAAATCCTACCGACTGCGCCAGTGCCAGTATATCACGATTGACATCATACTAAATTTTTTTTGCCTGAAAGGTACATGCACTAGGATTCAATCGGGTCGATTCTATTTGCAAACAGCAGTATGTATGGTTGTGAAAAATATATTGCTCGATTGCAAAAGTGGAATTCTGTTAATCGATTTTTGGCAATATGATCTGTCAATTTTGATGACATGTTAGCTTTCTCGCTATCTCGGCATTATCAATAACAAATCTGAAAATGGCAGTGGATCCTTTGTTTTTGCACTACATTTTCGTGCAAGTGTTTGACAGAAAATTGGTGATTATTACTATATAAGAATCACTTGTGTTTACTAACTACTTGAAAATGTGTTGATCAATTATGAGAATTCAATTTCTGCATATACCTAACGACCTGTCAATTTGAATTTGAATAATATAATTTTGAAAATGTCAGTACAAGACAGATATATTTATTGAAATCAAGATATACACATAATAATCAGTGGTGGCTCGTGCTTCATTTAACAGGGGAGGCAGAATAGGAAGTGTAAAATTCTATGAAAAAAACTGACGACATTTATAAGGTTCTTGTTCATAGAAAATCCGTAAGAGGTGCTGATATCGTCATATTTTTACCATATTTTTAATGGCCATCGGACCAAATAACAATCACTCACGGCAAAAAATACAGAAATGGTGTAAGTAGGCTCAGTTTTTATAGTGTTTAATGAAATTCTGATAATTGAGTTTTTATTTCCATTTCAAAGAGAATTCGTACAGCGACATCTATTAGAATAAGATGTAACAAGAACCTTATATTGCAATTTTCGACTGTTCATTCCCGTCAAGTTTGGGCAAAACCACGGCAAAACAAAAGTGCATCAGTACAAATCAAAAACCCTCCTATCTAACTGACAAATTATTTCCTAGACATCAAATGCACCCAATTAATCTTAGAAATGTGAGCGATTTCAATCTCCTAGGAGTACTCTCTTTGAGCGATCTTTTACGCACCATGCCGTAACCGTGTATAACTCTCTCAGTGAAATTGATAAACAGTTATCTCTCCCACTTTTCGAAAACAAAATTAAAGACAGTCTCCTGAGTAAGCAGTGATCTCACCTAATTTCTAGTTTTAATAATATATCTTTATGTAAACTATACTATAATGATGAGTGCCATGTATAATTTTTTTTCCTGATATCGTGGTTGAGTGGAAGAATTGCTATATACTAAACTCCATGAGAAATAAAGGCCATTTATTATTATTATTATTATTATATACTTATAAACATCTCAGCAACACGTACTCCCTCGCGAATCTGGGGAATTTTATTGGCCAGAGGCTGCTTTCCGTTAGATGTTGCCAGATCGTAAATTCGTACTCTATTCTGAATAATTTCAAGTATACAAGCATTGCTGCCAAATTCTCAAATTCTACTTGAAAACCGATAGAACAAACATGAGCTAGCTATTTCGGTGTAATATTTTATACAAGTATATCGAACTATTCGATGTACTGTCCAAACCACATCCAAACAGAATACATAGTTGATTTGGCAACAAGATACGAACAGAATGAACCCGAATATCACAATAACAACGTCCTATTCGACAGTTATCCAGCCTTGTTGGTGGTTCCCTCTACCGTGACCGACGAAAGCATACGGCGGTTCTGTCGATGCTACCGTCAAGGTCGCATTCCGAGCATAACGTGGCGGCATCCGAGGACCAAAGCGCTGCTGCTCAGAGGCGCCGGCCACCACGGCAAAAGCGTGATGGGCATGCTCAAGAGTCATCCCTCTTCTACTGCATCATCGACAGGTAAATTGAAAGAAATAAATAGTTGTTCTGAAATGCACAGTGTGGTTCTACCAGTGTCGTTCATTGCATTGAATTAAAAAAAATAAAGGCCAAAATCTCCCTTATTGACAACAGTTTTAGTAAGCTAGTGACCTCTATTCCGAACCAAGATATCCGTTAGCTATCCTAACCTTAGAAATATTTCTGAATTCCTGTCAAGATCTGTTGGGTAGACTTTTATAAATATTTATTCCACAAGAATACAATGATTTTTTCCCGACTTGGGTTTTTATTTTGACAGTTTTCAAATGTTTCCTTTGTCTGGTGTGATGCTCCTGGGTATCAGAATTGATATTGAAAGTAAGATTCGAGTGATTTTTCTTATTTTTAGTGAAATGAATGAAAATGCGTATTTTTATTTTGAAGAGAGTCAATATCTAGCAGATCCCTTGATTTTTATTGTCTAGATGTTGATTCCAAAAATGGTAGTTGATAAATACATTTTATGGCTTTATTTTGAAGAAATTTCAGAGGTTTCAAAACAGATTTTGCTGCAGTACCCCAGATCGATATCAGATACTGCAATTCAGAGTAAATCAAACTGAAATGAATTAATTTCAAGTATTGAAGAGGTATAAAAGACCTCAATTTGTATAATATACCAACAATGGGAGATATCTTTTTTCTGAGCAATTGAATATGCGATGACCAAGATAGAGAGTGGTCTATAGTTAAACCTAAGAGTTTGGAGTTTTTTGTAGGATTTGTACAAAAATTCCCGAATTTTGAAGGATCTATTTGGTTATCAGGTATAACTCTTTTCGAGATGAACATCAAAGAAGATTTATCGAAATTGAGTGTCAATTTATGATCTTGTATAACTCTTTTCAAGATGAACATAAAAGAAGATTTATCGAAATTGAGCGTCAATTTATGACCTTGTAACCATAATGTAATTGAAGCGAGATCTTGGTCCATTTGGTTTTTTATTTCTTGTATATTTTTATTCTATAAATCACAAATAAAATAGGTCCAAGAATTGATCCCTGGGGCACACCACAAGATATCTTTCTTATTGAAGAAAATTAATCTTACTAATACACAAACTGCTTTCTATCAAATAGATAATTCTCAAACCAATTTTCTGTCAGGTTTATAATCGAAATAGTCTGAATGAGAATCCATTGCAGAAACGACGTCATCTACCGAACAGGAGAAATACCTGTCTGCCCTCGTGGCCATCACTCCGGTATTCTCTCACAGGACCACGTGGGGCATGTCGGACAGCTCGCTGAGCATCGATTCGTTGCTGTTGGCGGCGGATGACCCGCTAGGGGGCACCACGATGACGCCGGAAGTCGCCAGGCGGTCAAACGCGTTCAACAAGGCGATAGGAACGCTCGGGTGAGTAGCATTTTATTTTGAGGTTATAGTTCTGCTATATTCCCGGTTGAATACCTTGGAAATTAGTTAGTTGCGACAATGTTTTACATTCAATTGTACTATGTTAATAAAAAAATATGCTCGTCCATTTCGATGATATCTTGTTAGCTTTCTTGCAGTCTCGGCAACATCAAGTTTATGCTTGCTATCTCATAACATGGTTGAAAATGGCAGTGAATCCTTTGTTTTTGCACTACAATTTCTTCCAAGTGTTGGGAAATTTATATTTAAAATGATCATAAACATATAAGAAGTTCTCTCGTGCAACTAATTATTTGAGAACATTTCTTTGAAGTTTCAATTTGTAGAAGAAATTGTGAGACTACAATTTCGGCATATCAGATTAGAGCTAGATCAGAGATAAAGCAATCCAATTGAGTTGCCTGATGGAGAGTTCATCAAGCTACGACCAAATTCACCAAATATTCTGTCAATTTGTATAATTGACCATTGTAGAACACGTGATTTGGACATGGTTTCTTGGATGGCACACAAACTATCTGTTGAGTTACCTTTGAAGAGAATAGCCCTGGCCATCCATCAATTGAACAAAACATAAACTATATATTGGGTGTCCGTTACTCTCTGTCTACAAGTGAACTTCTAGCGTGAAAACTGTAGTGGACTGACAGAAATTCAAATTAAAAAATTTGATGAATTTGTTTCCACGGCATTTATTACGAAATTTCGACCATGATATGAAACACGAAACCAAAACATCTTGTGTAGTACATCGTCGGAATGAGAAAAAAAAGTTGACTGTCGATTATTCCTATCATCCTGTGTTAGAAGTGATATCATTTTCGACTTTCTCACAAATAACCGGTTTGAGAATGTTTCGATCAAAATTCGATTGTTTGATCGAAAATCGCAAAATTTCAGTATTTTGGCGATATCATAAAAACTAAGAAAGAGAGGCCAGATTTCTTTTCAGATTATTGATCAGCATCAGAATTTGCAACGTCATATCTCTCGAGATAACCGATATCCCCATGCTCAAGCTCGAATTACGGGCACCCTGTATGATTTGAGCATAGTTACCTGTCAGCTATAGCTCAAAACTGACCAGAAAGTCGAATTATGAATGCCCTCGACACTAGGCAATAGTTGAAAGTATATTACAATACTTGAATTTTTTTAAAGTTATTCTTCGTCCTTATGTTGTTGGCAACTTCCATCTAGGGAGTTTGCCAGCTCATTTATAGATATTGGTCTTTCGAGGCCACTTCAAATGATGATCTTTGACATTTTTCACCAATCTCACGAAAATGAGTTGTGTATTGTAATAGAACGATAATTGGCATTCATAGTGACTTCATCAGAGACACAAAGAAGAAATGACATATTTCTAGACCTATTCACCTTTTTGATCTGTCAGTCCGTCATTCGGTTGCCCCCTTACGAGCAACCCTCAGAAGTCTTGTGCGAGCAAGGAATGACAGGAGCCTTTTAACGTGTGATCCCAAACAATTTCCCAGGCCATCAGAAAAAAAATTGCAATCGGGGATTTGAACCTACTATCGGCAAGCGAACGAGATAGAATATTAACGCTTTTACCACGTGGCTACCTGGCCTAAGAAGAACATCGATTTCCATCTCCATGATTTCTTATCACGGGTTTTTCAAAAATGATACCTTGATAGGCACGTATACGTATAGTGTAGGACCTGTTTATTTCCAGAGTATTTCCGAGATCTTCGGGAGGCAAGGGACCGAAAAATTTCGGCCGTTGGGGTTCGCTGAAAGACAGACGACAGTCGTCTCAAGCCTCTCTGGCTGCCGGACAGCAGAACAGGGTGAATTTGAGGCACAGCACGGAAGTAGAAAACGCTGTGGATGGTGTTCATACCCTCCAAAGGGCTGCTCTTTACATCCTAGGTAGGTATGAAATGATGATAATTTGCTTTTGATATGAAATATTCCAAATCGCATCAATCTTATTGCAACAGGATTGATTCGATTTGGTATGGTGTCAAAACGCAATATATTGTTATTGAAGAATGATCTTTAGGTGAAAAAGCCCAAATGAAGGGTATCAAAGTCGAATCTGCTCCAAAGACTGATTTTATCCCGGTGGAGTATTATGACATCCGCCACACGAAAGCAGCTTTCAAGAAATTGATGAGAGCCTGCATACCTAGTTCACAGAATGTGGAACCAGAACATAGTTTTCATAGGTGAGTAGGTACATTGTTTATTCATGTGTGGGATAAACGGTGACTGGCCGTTTTTGTTGTTTATCGCTGAATTCTTCTACAAAATAACAACCTCCAAAGGGCTTTTTGGGTGTCAACTTGTTATCAGAATGAGAATAACCATAATAAATTCCCATTGACTCACACTCTATCAAAATTGTTCAGTTTGCTTAATCATTGTCGTTCTAAAACCTAGTTAGTAGGCGAGAGGTAGGTATAATATTGTCTGTTTATTGACCCAAAATGTGTCTGTCTCAATGGTGCTAGTTTACTGTAAGCATCCGAAGCTCATTCATTTCAATTGGATATTATTTGTCAAATGGACAATTTTAGGTTGAAGTTTCCTAACGTAATAATGAATTGACATTCCCCGAATGAAGATAATGTAGTTATATTTAGTTATTATCAACAATATACAGGTAAACAGAGCTGGGCCGGGTACTGATAAATTGTACTCGAGTACCGGGTACCGGGTACTGTTTATAATTGAAGAACGAGTACAGAGTACCGAGTACCCCACTCATTGGATGTACTCAGAGTAAAGTACTCCGAGTACAAGTACCCGAATTTCACGGGTACTCATTTCAAGTACATTTGAATAGAGAATTGAGAAATTTTGCATCAGTATTAGTAACCATATTTATTAAACAAAACAACTTAACTTGCAATACTATACCCTTACCTCTTAGTTTAGTGTGGTTTATTAAGAAAATAAGAGAAACGATACAAAAACACTTGACTCTATAACTGTTACACAGTGTACAAAACAAAAACTCCGCGTTTGGTTCTGATTGAAGTGCTGACTGATAATGAATAATAATGATGATATAACATATAACAGCGGTTTCCCGTGTTGCACTCGCATATGCAGAGACAAGTTGCAAAAAGTATCCAGAAAACGTACTCGTTTAATAAACGCGGGTACCGGGTACTTTTCCCGAAATGCTACGGGTACGAGTACCGGGTACTTTATTGAAAATGTACTGAGTACACAAAATGTACTCAGAGTACAATATTTGAGTACTTGTACTCGAGTACTGTCCAGCTCTGCATGTAAATAAGCAGTTCTTACCTCTTTACTCATTTTACCTTTTTATTCTCGATGAATTATTTTATTTGTGTTAGGTACTTGAACATGAGACATCGATTATAAACTTGACAGGAAGGTGGATCTTGACAGAAATTTGATAATTTTCTAGGGTTAGGATAACAAATAACTTGGAAGGAATAGACAGTTGCCGCACACTACATCCATCATTCTGGCTTCCAACGCACGACTGTGCACAGGATATGGGATATCTGAGAGATTAATTATTTCTTCATATGTTAATCATCAACTGAGCTTGTGGTACTGTGGGTTAAAGGTCAGCATGCCACGCCTGTGGCCTGGGGTACAATCCTAGCGAGTTTAAACTTTTTTTTTTAATTCTGTTGCCTCAAATAATCTTCTAAAGAATATATATTCTAGGAAGAAGGTCCATTTAGGCCGAGTTATGTAAGATTCTTTAGAAAAAGTTCTCTCCTTTGTTCTCTCCTGTAATTTTCCGAAGAATATACATTAGAAAGGTCCATTTGGGCAGGTTGAATGATTGTTTAAAAACATGTAACCAGTCAAGATTAAACGCCCTTATGCGACTTTTTCTTGACGTTGACCCCCAGGCTAATCGAGAATTCGGAATGGCTGCAACAAATCCAGAACATCATGCAGCTGTCGGGCGCCGTGGTGGACCTGCTCGACCTGCAGGGCTCCTCGGTGGCGATTTGCCTGGAGGAGGGGTGGGACATAACGGCGCAAGTGGCTTCCGTGGCGCAGCTCTGCTTGGATCCACATTACCGCACCTTGGAGGGGTTCAGGCTGCTCGTGGAGAAGGAGTGGATCGGTTTCGGGCACAGGTATGTGGATTCATTCTCGATACATTCACATGGAATTTTCGAAGTGATAACTTCTATAGGCCCGTTAGGCACTTTCTGGGATGGGAGAAAAACGGCCGGACTGGCGTATACCTTATCTTCCAAGTTGCTTCCTTTTGTCTCCACGTTACTGCGTCTGGTTTTTTATTCTCTATTATATTGTAATTGTTCACTATAAGTATACTATATTAATAAACCGCATTCACTTTCCCTAAATTTGCAACCCTTCTTATTTTTGTTGGTTTCATCGGGTTTATCCATTGTCTTGACTTCTTTGACAATAAATAGTTATTTATTATTTATGTGTTTATTTATTTATTTAAAGTCTCACAAAACACTGCAGAGTAATTGGAATTTAAGGCACTACAAAAATTCCTTAAATCTAGCACAAGTATCAAAATATTTATTAAAGTATAATAAAAATCACAGCTACAAATGACATCAGAGGACAAAAATGTACACAGATGACAGTCAAAAATAAAAAACATTGGACAGAATCCCTATCCTTCAAAAGATCATTACGCAGCATTAACATTTGGCTTGGATTATCTTATGGGTACTTGATACTAAATAATTCGTCACATTTAGATGTAAGCTGAATTGATTAATGCACATTTGTGGTATTTTATGTTGTTTATTATATAGTGTATGAAAATCACAGATTGTTGTTTTCTTATATCACAGAGTTCAGCATGCTATACAAGGGAAATAAGTAGTAGATTTTAGCTCGAGGTTGTGCAACTTTATACGAGCAATTCTTGCATTGACAGAGAAGTAGATATAGTAGGAAGAGGCAGAATGAAGAAAGTATATCTATCAGTTCTACATCAGTCACGTCTCAGTACCACAATCTCCGCCTCATTCCAATAAAGTTCTTGAATGATCCCTATCACTCAATAAATTTCAGGAATGTGCTAAAAATATCAGGGATGTTCAGGAATGTTCTAGAAATAACTGAAATTGTTTTGAATGCTCTTGAGAATATTTTCGGATCCTCGAATAATAATGATAATGATCAAAATGTTCAAAATACAAAATGAAAGTATACATAATTTTAATTGAATATAGAAAGAAAATTTGTTGCAAGGAATGTTTCATAAGATCCAGATTGTTCTAAAAGTGTCATTGATGTTCGGTATGTGAATGTTTTAAAAATGAAGTATGTACTGTTCCAGAAATGCTTTAGCATCTCGAATGAAATGTTGTTTGGTGTTGAAATTTTTGAAAAAAGAAAATGACCAAGTGCACTGGAGAAGTTATAAATAAATCCACTTACTCAATCATCTAATCAGGTTCAGCCACAGGAGCAACTTGAACGCCACCTCGCAGGCGAGCGGCTTCGCGCCCACCTTCCTGCAATTCCTGGACGTGGTGCACCAGATCCAGAAGCAGTACCCCATGGCGTTCGAGTTCAACGACTACTATCTGCGCTTCCTGGCGTACCATTCGGTGTCCTGTCGGTTCAGGACGTTCCTGTTCGACTGCGAACTGGAGAGGGTGGAAAGTGGAGTGGCTGCGGTCGAAGATAAGAGAGGTTGGTGATATCCTTGATTATTTACACTAACAAGATGATCCACCTATCTGAAAATGTTGTGCGAAATGTTGAAGCCAAATGTGGCCTTAGTTTCGCAGTTCTTGGCTGGTTCATAGGCGGCGCTAGCAAAATATGGCCGATTTGTTGCTAAACAATCTAGGAATATCCTTCTTTCTGAAGCAGGAAAATCACTAACTTTGATATTCTGAAGGCTTTTAAATTGAAACATTTCAATCCGGCCCTGATGCGACATTTGTTCTGACATAAAAATATTTGAAAATGAACTTGAAATGATATTCTGCATTACCGATCTCTACCCCTCACTATTCAACAAAAAGTAATTCACCTTGTCGCTCATAGAAACCTACTGAATATAATTTCTGGCTTCATTGCTCATAAAGATGGTTGATTTTGTATAGAAATCCGAATGGTGTGATAACTTCCAATTGAAAGGAGTTTAGTAATGTTTTGATTTGGCCTACTTTGTAAAAATGACGACGTTTGGGAGACCTATTGAAAGGAGGATATTTTTATGATCTGCACATATGTATTCGACTACGCAGAGAAGCAGCACGCCAAGCATCTTACATTCTTCAACCCGATAATTGAAAATAAACGCTATGTTAGCAAAATTAACTAACGAGTAAATTTCCAACATTCAAATTTTCATTCCCATCTATAGTTTATAAAAATTCACTGGGCACATACTTATTTTGTTCCTCAGATCAGATTAGTGTTCAGAAAAAATCTTTTCGGCTCTTCCACCATTCGAAAATGTTCGAATAATGTTTGTTTTGAGGTTATGTGTGTATTTTGTTTAAATTTTACTACTACTACTATTATCTAGACAGCTAATGCCATAAAAAATAACCTGTGATATCACTTACTCGTGAGACTCGCTGTCATGAACGATAGTTGTGCGATACGAATCTTCAGAACTAATTGAAGCAATCTCATTCACCGACGATGAAAGTGAATTCTTGCATATTTGACATGCTGCGTATGTCTTTGATAAATGAATGGCCGTTAGCTGGTGTGATACGAATTGCAATTCTAATACTAACCTCCATTTCATCACCATATATCATAATTATAACCATAGAAATACAATACACTATCTATCAAGCATCGAACATATTGGTCCTTCGAGCCGGATTTATTAAAATCAAACCTTCAAGTGAACATTATGAATTTACAAAGTATCTATTGACGAAAAAAGAAGGATGCGTAGGTGTAAATGCGTATTCAAGTGGTTCATTCACATTTTTCTTAGGTTCTTTGACGTCGCACCACAAGACCGTGGACACGGCGTCGGACGACGACACGGTCTACCCGGGCGGCCGATGCTCGACCGCCTTCCAGGGCGCCAACTTGGGCCAGAGCGTGTTCGACTACGCGGAGAAGCAGCACGCCAGGCATCCGACGTTCTTCAACCCGATGTACACGCCCGATTTCGAGCATCCGGTGCTCAGGCCGCAGTCGCATCTGCCCTGTCTCGAGGTGGGTGTGTGTGATTTTTTTGGCATAGATGTATTAGAAACTCAAATGGAGTATTCATAATGATAATCATAACATTCTAGTTTTATTGTATCTATAATTGAACGCCTAAAGATCATGACTTTCAAAAAAGAAGTTAAAAGTCGACTTATAGAAAATACGTATAAAATCGATGATCTTATTTAGTCAGCTCTATTTTCCTTTATTTCAATTCATTCTCATTATTGTATGAATTGATTATTTGTTTTCAGTTTAAGCATTTACATTGTGGAAAAACAATTGTGTACGTGAAATAATACATCTCTTTCACACACAGGTCACTAACCTATGTGAAGGAGATACAATATGAAATATATATACTTGTAATTGATATTCGATGACAAAATGAAGATTTTACTTGATTCAATGAATGAGTAAATAAATTTCAAAAAATCGTTTCCTATTGGAAGGAGTTTAGAAATATCTCGGTATCGCCTACTTTGTAAAATCAATTTTACAGGAATTTCACAATCTTTGTGGAAATGGAAACGGAGCGTTATATTTTCGACTTTCAAAGACTAATACATGAAGAACTTATGTTCTAACTGGAAAAAAATCCAGTGATAATGATTTTTTCTCACTTTTGGTAAATAAAATGAAACGAATTTTTGTTGTCCCTCACTTCATTATTGACAGATCGATGATACCACACCACCTCTTGGTGGTCATTAACAGTAATTTCAACAGAAGAAATCTAAGCCAAAATATTCTGCGTTTTGTTGATTTCAAAATGGAAAATCAGCAAGTTCAGTACTGACAGTAGTATTTGACACCAATACCAGGCTGTCTTCCTCGTTACTACGAGGTACACATACTATTTTTTTAGAAACAGCAAACAATATTGAATTTAATGTCTAAAATGTTTACAGGGTGGGTGACGGTCGTTGGTACGAACGGAACATAGCATCATTCTGAAATTTTGGGGACTCAAGTAGTTGCTCTTGGTCTATGGTTCTAACATAGATAGACAGATGAGAATTCTGAATCTTGAAAAATTCTAAAGTTGAAGAATCTCGATTTGGAACACCCTATATTTCTGTTAATCATTACTGCTAGAACCCAAGTGTTGCACATCTATGAAATCAGGTCTTCAAGAAGAGTCCGAAAATGCAATATTATACAGAATGTTCCATTTGAAATATCAAAGTTGTTACTACTTTTTGGAATAAGCGGCAACGCTGCATTGCTGAAAATATTTTAGATCGATAGACCAAGAGCAGCTACTGGAGCAATCAAATGTTTAGAATTTATTATTTATTTCATTTATTTATTTATTTATTTATTGAACAAATAACTTCCAGACAGAATAGGCTCTGGTATAAGGAAGTACATAATTATATACCTATAGGTAAACATATCATTATACAAAATATATCAACAACTGTAAATTGACAAACAAAGAATAATATTTGTAAAAAAAAATGGCATGTTCAATTTTATCCAGTTCGCTCAGAAATAATCAATTTTTTCACTTCATTTTTGAATGAACCTATATTTCTGCAATTTTTTATATTGTCAGGTAGTTTATTGAATTCAGTTAAGGCTGAATGAGTGAATCTTTTTTGTCCGATAATGAAGCTAGCGGCGTCAAGATGAAACAAGTTATATTGTCTTTTTTCATGATTATGAATTTCAGAATTCCGTATCAACATAAAATTCGACTTCAATTTTTTATTTATGATATTATATGATATTTTGAGAGTTTCAATTCTATATATTTCATCTAAAGAATACGTATTTGTTATTTCAAACAATTGATTGGTTGGTGTATCAAATGGGAGACGATACAATACATTTAACGATTTTCTATATAATGTTGATATTTTATTGAAATTGTTCTAAGGTCGTACCGTCGACCGATACCCACCCTGTATATTATTTATTTAAAATAGTTGAGTAACCAAATTCACAGAATCAGGGTCCATTGAACGTGACACAGCCTGTATGAAAAAACCGACAGGGACCGTTTTTATCAAAAATTTTCTCGGATCGATTTCAGTTCGGAAAAGTTCGTTGCTCAGCAACGGACTGAAATACTAGTTCAGCGTATTTTGGTCTTGCATTGCTCCGAGAAAGTAGGCATTCTTGAGCGATTCCAGAAAGAATGATTTTTGTGATTTTGTATGTTATGGTTGTGCATACGATATCAGGTGTGGAACTACTATTTGGACGAGGATCTCAGATACGGTCCAGGCTACGATCCGGAGATCGTGCAGATGGACGCACAACAAGAAGAAGAGACCGAGGCGGCAGACGGGATAGCGAAGACGAGGAAAGTGGTCGCATTGGGGTGAGCGAATGTTTTTTCTCGAAATTTTCCACTAATTCAGCTGGAAGTGACCAGGATACTGTCTAATTTCAAAATGAAATCCTGTCAGCCCATATATTCGGTCCGATTCTCTGAGAAGTGTTTAATAGGGTGGATAAATTAGTAGTGTGCTTGATAAGAACTTTTTTAACCACCCCAGATTTTCCACTATTCGCGATAGAAAATAACACGTCGCCCCACCTGACGGCAGCAACTTGAACACTTCTGAGCGGTTTGTTTTGATGATATGACCAATTAGCATAAACAAAAAACAAATGTGAACCAACGAAAACAAAGTAAACATGCCGCTTTGACAGCTTTCAAGAACTCCGATAGGTGTCGTACGCTTATTTTCTATCGCGAATAGATCGCGTGCACGATGACCGACCCTGGAGGTAAAATAATGGAACACAACCTCATTCTTCTGTGAATTATTGAAACACAACCTCACTTTTCCATTTGGTTACAGAGGAATCAGAGGTTTGAAATAGTTTTCACAATATTATGGCAAACGAATCGTGTTTTTTGCGCTATTCATTAATTCAAGCATGCCTGTGCATTGTGCTGTTGTACAATGCACAAAAAATGCAGCAAGAGACGAAGGAATATGATTTTTCAGGTAAATAGTGATCTCACATAGTTATCATTGTGAAATGTTGTCATTCCTTGTAAAAATTCCTTCTGCCACTTCTGCAATACAAGCTGATACTGATAATAGATTGAAACACACACGATCATATTTCGTCAGCATGTCAGACCAGTCCTCCCGTTTGATTACATGAATTCAATCTTCTTGCATTATTTTAGAAATTTCATGTGTATTTCTATTAGCTCCTATTGCAGAAGGAATTCTGATGAGAAATCAGAGAAATTACCAGATTTCAAAAATGAAAACTATATGTGAGTGACTATAGTAGGTACTTACTTTTAAATCATAATGCACCAACAGGATTCCTTCGTCTCTTCTGCTGTAGTTTTTGTGCATTGTACAACAGCACAATGTGATGGCATGAGCGAATTAATGAATAGCCGAAAAATACGATTCCTATGCCAAAGTAATTGTGAAAAACTATTTCAATCACTTGTAAACAAATAAGAAAAGTGAGGTTGTGTTTCAATGTTGTGCCTACAGGGTCGGTCATCTGAAAGTTCTTGCACGCAACCCATGGATATTTGATTTTCATACGGTCCATTCATCAATATTGCTAGTTTTTTACATTTCAACAGTCATTCATCTATTATTTCATTGATTATTGCTATATTTCTGCTTTTTTAATGTCTATTTGACTTTTGACAATTATTGATATACTCTACGAGCACATGATTGAGACATTGCTACATTAGAATCCGTCCCCCTGATAGGATCCTCGTGCGAGTGAATGTAAAGCAGCAAGTATCTGAAATACTAGCCATTAGTTATAAATATTCTCTAAGTACTCTCTATACATACATTACAAAAACTCAACTGAGATTTATTTTTACATGTAGAAGAATGAAAGTAGCCCACCAACGTCTTCTATCTGTGGTTCTATTAATGGTATCAGAACCTCTAAAACCAATACTCTTGGCCTGTGATAGATTTTCCGAAATTAAAGGATGGATTTGTTGAATATCGCAAAATTCTATTGTTTGATGCTATCCTTCTAGTGAAATAGTATTTATTACTCGCAAAAATAATCATATTCCTAATTCTCAATTCAAAAATACTCACAAATATCACAAAATATAGTGACATAATGTTCGTTCGGAAATTAGAATGTAAAATGTGACTTTTTGTAGAGGTCGACGAAGAAAGATAATTTTGTGATTTTTATCTGAATTCCAAAACAAACGAAAAAAAAAACATTATATTTTCGAGAAAGTACCATTTCACAAGGTTTTTTTCTTGAATTTCCAGTTACGACAATGTGGATAAAGCCGTACCGGATGCGTTCAGCCATCTCCTGGAGGAAATTCACAAACTGGAATCCGATTTGGGTCACCTTCCTCAGAAATGGCGCGTCCTGTGGGACAAACTTGAACTACCTCTAACAGATTCGCTAACGGTGAGTTGACAAAAGAGATCAATCATTTCTTGATGGAGAAAGAATGGCAGATACTTGTGAATGCGTCTCCAAAAAAGCGGAAAATTGAGGTGAAATTTCCAACTTTCTCGTGAATAATCTCGATGAATAGTGATTTGTTCACATCTTTATTATGAAATTCGTGTTTTTCAGAACAAAAACATATTCAACAAAAATCACCGTTGTATGAAATGTGCAAAATTATTGTATTGAGTGTATAAACAAAAAGCACCCGAACCCGATCGAAGCTGTTTGAATACCTGATCAAAGCTGATCAGGTACATGATCGCAGCTGATCAGGTACATGATCGCAGCTGATCAGAGCTGATCAGCCTCTAACAGCTTCGATCGGGTTTGGGGTAAAAACAGCAATTTTTGTTATTTTGACCTCAAATTTTCTTACGGAGATTAACATGGGAAAACTGCCCAAAATGGTCTGATGCTCTTGCTGTACTTCGGAGATTATTTATTTATTTATTTCAGTTATTGCATTACATTCTCTTCTTCATTGATACATTTCATACAAATAATATAATTATACAAATAATATAATTATACAAATAATATATAAAGTATAATTAATTTTCTAGTAGGAATGACATGAATGATCAGACAGTAATTCCTGGTATAAGATCATTCATGAAGTATAATCGACTGTTGTATAATTGAAATTACAAATAGTGAACAAAACTTACATACCATTAAGATATCTCAAAATAACAGTCATATCATAGTGAACAAGAAGGGGAAAAAACAGTGAAAAAAAAAGAAATGAAACTCATAGTCTTTCAGCTTTGATCATTCCTTTGCATATAAATATATTTCTTCACTTTATTTTTTAATTGTATAATATTTGGGCTGTTCTTGATATCATCGGGTAATTTATTGAATTTCGAAATCGCCTCATGTGTGAACTTTTTTTGTCCAAGTTTAGAATTTGCAGCCTCAAGATAAAATAAGTTATATTGTCTAGTGTGATGATCATGAATTTCGGAATTCCTAATTAATATAAAATTTGATTTAAGCTTTTTGTTGATGATTTAATAGGAAATTTTGAGAGTATTGATTAAAAAGTGCTCTTCCAAAGAAAATTTGTTTGTTTCCTTATACAGTTGATTCGTTGGAGTATCATATGGAAGACGATACAATACTTGCAATGCCTTTTTATATAGAACAGAAATTTTGTTGGAACTATTTTTGGAACAAGATCCCCAAATATTTATGAGATATTCGGAGGAACCCGAAGTTTCCTGAAGATATCGTTATTTCCTGTTGTTTTAGGTTCTTTGTCAAGATATGGAAAGGCTTTTTAGAAAATTTTATTCAAGTATAAAGTTCATGTCATAATGTACTTTTCATGAGCTTTTTGTTTTGTTATTATTTTTTTGATTCTGTTGTTATTTCAATAACTATAATTTAATTTGATTTGTCTGATTATTCATGTTACTCCATTGTAAATACTAATGATTATATCTATATTTATATGAGATGCAATGTAATGTTTATAGCAAAGAATGAAATTAAATAAATAAATGTAAATGTAATTCAATTTCCTCTATTTCTAGCGCCACGCGTCGTTCAGCACCGCTTTGGTGCGCTCGCACGGCCGCCTCGTGCACAAGCGGTCGACGCTCGAGATCCTGATGCGCGGCAAGATGGTGGGTGCCGCCGAGGCGTCGATGGTCTACTCGCATCCGCACCGCTTCGAACGGTACAACTGCACCACGCCCACCTACTGCGACTTCTGCTCGAACCTCCTGTGGGGACCGGTCAAGGTGAGTCGACGTCTGTCACTGACATTGGCTTTTTTTTCCATTTCGCGAAACAGAAACGGCAAACACGGATTCGTGAATGAAATCGCGAATGGTGGGGATAATAACAGACACTTGTACATTTGCGAGTGAGTACTGAGACTAAATGACAATAGGCACCGCGCGGTTCATTCATGAATCACTGAAAAGTATGCGCCAACATTCCTAAACACCAAACACAGATGAATGAATGGAATCACGAATGGTGGGGTTCACTCTGCGGAATCATTGCTAGAGAATTAATATTCTATATATGTAGAAATATATTTCATACATTTAATCAATCGTAATTCCCACGAAAGTGTTTATAAAACCGGTTCGAGCGGCACAACTGCACCTCCTGTGGGGACCGGTCAAGGTGAGTCGACGTCTGTCACTGACATTGGCTTTTTTCCATTTCGCGAAACAGAAACGCCAAACACGGATTCGTGAATGAAATCGCGAACGGTGGGGATAATAACAGACACTTGTACATTTGCGAGTGAGTACTGAGACTAAATAATAATAGACACCGCGCGATTCATTCATGAATTCTTGAAAAGTATGCGCCAACAATCCTTAACGTCAAACACGGATGAACAAATAAAATCGCGAATAGTGGAATAGAATAGAAGAATAGAATTTATTCAATATAGAATACATTCTAATATTAACAATTCCAATAGCATTACAACACACAGCATAACATTAACAGTTTCTTGAATTAATAATATAGTAAAATTAATATTTTTTTTTTGTTCTTTTATCATTCCCATTCTTGTTTCGAAGTTTCTGTAACGATGACGGAGAGTTATTATCTAATAAATACAGTATTGTAGCACAGTAATCGAAATGTGGCTGGATATTAGTATTGTACACTGTTATTTTAGTTTGGATGGGCAACACTGATGCAATTTTCTATAAATCTTTCTCAAGGTTTCTAAAATCACAGTCAGGTGATGGTCAGATATGGAAAGTTTGTTATCGGAAATACGAATGGATGACACCATAATCAGGGCAACACTAATTTTCCACTTTGAAATGGCCCTGAAACCATGTAATATCGATCATATCAAACTATTGTCGTTGTGAATGAAAACCTAGTAGACCCGAGGTATAATATTCTTCAAAATTGTAATTTGTCTGAGGTGCCGTTAGTCACAACAGCGAACACGCAAGTTCAGTTATAAAAATATTAGAAGATGAAGACTTGTACCTAAAATTGTCTATATTTACAAATATTCAACAGAAACAAATAAGCTTTTGACATTTTTGATTAAACCAGTGCCGTTGACAGACAGGACATATTTTGGGTTAGTGAACCACCGACATAAATTACTAACCCGCGGATGCCACAAGATCAAAGCTCATTCGTTCACGAGATCCAACTTGTTCCAATGCAGCGTGGACATTCAGGACCTGTCATATATCTTTCTCACTCTTGTATTTCCGAATACCAATAAACATGACTCGATGTCATGAACGACAGTTTGAGGGTTCTTGCGCATTGTGGAGCAGATGCGTTTTGAGGCGAGCAATTTGGATGAGATTTTCGGATTGCTGGGATATGACATATAGCAGTCTAGATAGGTTTTCATTTAGAACGACAATGTATCAAACAAATGATATGGTAAAGCAGCTAAAATCCCTGGTGGATGAATAATTCACAATCACGAGAAATTCGATCATTTCTTTTTCGATCACAGACTGGCATGCGGTGCATAGACTGCGGCTACAGCTGCCACGAGAAATGCATGGACAGCGTCCCGAAGAACTGCACCAAGTACAAGTCGGTGGCGGATAGCACCACCTCTCAACACCTGCAGACCAACACCGGCGATAATGGGTCGGTCAGCTCGGGTAAGCATACATCTCGACCGATACGAGGTCGCGGTATGATCCCTGAGGCACCCCTAACTTTACTTTTATTCATTCATTTATTAGTTCATTTATCACATGGGCAGTTCACAATTACAGTTAGAATAATATAAAAACATACTAAAAAAGAACAACACTGGTACAAAGTGAAAACAGTTTTCTACAAACTAACACAAGCATAATGACACACTGAAGATATCAATTGATTTTGAGTCTAAATTAGCCTGTCTTAATGATTTTATCATCCCTATGTTTGCCCAATGATTAGATTAGATTTGAGTCCAAGGCAAAAGTGCCATTTCCACTAATATCCATTGATAACAGCAATATAATTATGAGGTATCTACATTGTACTCTTTCAAGTTTTTCGATGTGAACAAAAGCATAAGGGCGCCAAATCACTGCAGCATATTCAAGATGAAAACTAACTAATGAAGAAAATGAAACCTTCAATGCATTTATGTGAACAAAATATTTTTATGGAAGTTTGTAATGGAAAATACCTCTAAGATCTTTGATCCATATAACTTTTTCAATGTCACTATTGTCAAGAAGATACTTGTAGGTCACCGTTTGCACTGTCTGATGAAATATAATAACTTAACATTTCTGAGGAATAATACACGTTTTATGTATAAGAAGGCGACGTAAGAAACTATTCAAACTATTTTGCAGTACAATAGAGTCAACTGGATTTTTGAAAAACAAAATATTTTTACGTCATCAGCAAAAATGAGAAATTTGCAGTCATCGATTTCCAAGTGAAAGCCTTGCGGCACACCTGAAGTAGCGATATATTCGTATCTTACTAGCTGACCCGACAAACGTTGTTTTGCTATAATATACATTATTTCTAGTAAATATATTTATTATACCTTCATTATTTTATTTTTTACTTCTCTTTAGTTTGGATGAAGTGTGTCTTTTTAGTTTTAACTAACTAACTTCTCAATTCGGCAATATATCTCTTCAGTTTTTTGAACTACTATTTATATTCTACTTCTTTTCAGTTTGGCTATCTATAAAAGCGTCTTTGATTAGTTTTCAAAACTACTATTCATACAAAGCTCGTCCGCCATATCGGATCCGCCATCTTGAATTTCCCAATTTTGATGAAACAATCATAATCTCTGACCCCGAAAAGCTCCAGGTACCTATTTTGAATGGAATCAGATCATATTTAAAAAACTTGTCCGCCATGTTGGATCCGCTATCTTGAATTTCCCAATTTAGATGAAAGAATTATAATTTCCGACCCCAAGAACCTCCAGATACTATTTTTCTTAGAATCGGATCAAATCTAATAATAATTACAATACTCGTTCGCCATATTGGATCCGCCATCTTGAATTCCCAAATACCAATTTTGAATATAATCGGATCATCATTACAAAACTCGTTAGCCATATCGGTTTGGCCATCTTGAATTTCTCAATTTTGACGAAAGAATCACAATATCCGACCATGAAAACCCCCTTATATACCAATTTTGTTTAAAATTAGATAATAATTATTACAAAACCCCGTCATATGTTGGATCCGCCATCTTGAATTGTCAAATTTGACGAAAGAATTATAATCTCCGACCCCGAATACCCCCAAATACCAATTCTGAATAGAATCGGATTATTATTACAATATTCATCAGCGATATTGGTTCCGCTATCTCGAATTTTTTTTTGATGAAAAACTCATAATCTCCGATACCAAAAACCTCCAGATACCAATTTTGAATAGAATCGGATCATACTTACAAAACTCGTCCGCCATATTGGATCCGTCATCTTGAATTTCCAAATTTTCAGGAAGGAATCCGATTCTCCGACCCCGAAAACCTCCATCTATATACCAATTTTGAATAGAATCGGATCATAGTTACAAAACTTGCCTGCCATATCGGATCCGCCATCTTAAATTTTCAAAATTTAAAAAATAGCTCACGACCGATTCTCAGAACTACCAAATATGCAAAAAAAAAATCATAAGAATCGGTCAAGTCGTATTTTGTATATTAGATTTCCCAAGACCTATGAATTTAATTATTGGTCTCTCATGATGGGGAAATAGATATTTACATAACCAGCTAGGAAACACGTAATTTTGTGTGACTATAGGATTTTCCGGAAAGAGCGAAGCAAGACACAGAGTAACTAATTACTTCACTTTGAAGTATCCGACAAACAATAATACGGTCACATGAACTGGCATGTAATGACAGATTTTGTGCAACGTTTTTTCAATGCATGCATCTTTCAAGTCATGGGGTTTCAACAAATCCTGGACAATTATCTAATTGTGCTCGCATTTTTATTTCGTAACTGGTGTTCATCACCAGTTATGTAATATTTCACTTTACACAACTGGTTACCTAAAGTAAGACGTTCCAAAACCGTCATCTTAGAAAAGTGTCAAATTGCATGTCGAGAGTAGAAAATTAATCATCAGAAATTGTTCCATTCAATCTGACACATCAAGTAGGATCATCGATTTCTTCCTGTTTTTTGTTAGGGAGCGCCCGGCAAACGTCTAGTCAACAGTACTACGATCAGTTCTCATCGAATGTGGCTGAGGATAGGACTCACGAGGGTTACCTCTACAAGAGGGGGGCTTTGCTCAAGGGATGGAAGCAACGGTGGTTCGTGCTGGACTCCATCAAACACCAGCTGAGGTATTATGACGCGATGGAGGATTCACATTGCAAGGGATACATAGGTAAGTCGGGGTAAAAGGCTACGAATAAATAAAACTGAGGAATTGTCCATTCCTATTCCTGTATTCACATATTTTTCAAGACATGGTGCAGCTTATAAATGTGGAAATTCGAGTAATAAGAAACAACCTGGGATCAATTTTTATTGGTAAGTGCTTCTATGAGATATTGGTTCTTGCGTTGTTATATGAATAAAAATAGATATTTGCTAAATTCGGTTTTATTATGTCTTATTGTTTCTTGAAAAATAGCTTTCAGTCAGAAATAAAATTCTGGTATGAGGAAGTTGATTACAAACAACAATAATAAAATAACATAGGGTGACAAAAAAAATCTAAAAATGCTAAATCGATAAAACACCCTATATCTCTGATATAAAACTTGAGACCCTACAAATATGGTATATTCAGAACCACCTTGATGAGCTCTACCCACTGTTGAAGTTTTTCCGTTTCCCAATGGGACATCCTGTATAGCAAAACTTGTGAAATGATTAAGACAATCTGTTAATTAGCCAAGAGAAATATTTTCGACTGGTAAAAGTGTGAGGTTACTGTGTAGTGTGTAGGCCATCCACGGGCGTGCGTACGGAGTGGGCAGTACAGAGTATGTAATCTGTTTGGTGCCTTGATTATGGCTTCAGTTCTAGAGTTTATTGTTTATTGTTTATTAAAAAACTAGCTTCCAGTCAGAAATTAAATTCTGGTATGAGGAACAAACAACAATAATAAAATAATATAAGGTGACAACAACAACATAAAAAATCAAAAAAATCTAAAAATGCTAAATCGATCAAGTCATAAAAATAGCAACAGGGACTAATCAGTAGATGGCAAAGTATCAATTTTATCCATTTCGTAATGAAATCATGTGTTTTTTTAATTCAATTTTAAATTTTGAAATATGTCTGCAATTTTTTATATTATGTGGTAATTTATTAAATTCAGCTAGAGCAGCGTGTGTATTTTTTTTGGCCAATTATATAAGTAGCAGAATCAAGATGAAATAAGTTTAATTGTCTCGTGTGATGACCATGAATTTCTGAGTTTCTTACCAAAACAAAATTGGATTTCAGATTATTGTTTAATTATATGAAACTTTAAGAGAATCTATTTTATATAATTCATCCAATGATCGGGCAGTTCCTTAGTTTTCTTTATTCGTAGATTCCAGGTTGTTTTTTGTATTTTGACGGTTTCTTTTTGCAGATTTAGCGGAGGTTATGTCTGTCAATCCGGCGCCACCAGCTCCGGGGCCTCCGAAAAAGACAGATGATAAATCGTTCTTTGATGTGAGTACAGCCAAAAATCAATATTATAAAAAAAATATCACCTTCAACTTAGGAAAAGTATATGTTATTCCTCATACTACTGGCGCCTATCCTTCTGTGAGGACTCCGATATTTTTTCTTCTAGAGGAAATAGTTCTGTCCGAAATTTTATAATAATTTTTTTCACATGCCAAATCTGACATTTTGGTGATTCCAACTGTTAGGAAAACACTGATTTAAATCAGTAAACAACCAAATAAATAAAACGTGGCGCGCAGTGATAACCCACTTCCCCGTAGCGAATAGGCCGACTGCTTGGACACATCTTTATTGTGATTCACACAAGCTTCTTCTTCCTTATTTATTTAACGTCGGAATTTTTCTGCTACTGAGGCTGATCACCGACGCCGGTGAGCACACTACCCCCAACCGAAAATTTTTCCGAATCCTCTGGTATTCCAACCAGAGGTAGGTATCTTTAACGAGTCCAACTTCCATGGCCTCGGGACCGCCGGCGTAACGTCCCCTCCGAAGGACTGCATATCCGTACCATATCCTTTGCTCATTGATATGGTAGCTGTAGCTATGATATGCTATTCCGCTACAGATGTACGGGCTTACGCGGCGTTTCCTCGAATGGTCACCCATCCAAGTACTAATCGCGCTCGACACTGCTTAACTTCAGATATTGAATGGCTAGTATTAAATTCATTTATTCATCTTCAGAGTCTTAAGCAATACATCACATATTTCAATCACATTTGTACATATAGATTCGGCATAGCTGATAGTATGCCTGAACGTCCCTCCACTGACGCAGAGGTGGCTGGTGTTAGCCAAGGAATATGAGAGGATATGTGAGGTGTTCGTCGCAGTGACCTATCTCCTAGGGCTAGGCCCTTTATATAGGTATTCTCGCTGGTGTTACCCAAAGAGGTTCTTGGGAGATAGTGCTGTCTAGAGTCTCCTCGGTGGCTCGGACATGTCCGAGAATCCGGAGAGGTTTCCGACTATAGATTATCAGGCTCCCTGAAAACATCGGTTGATGCATATAACAACCCGTGTTTTTTGTGGATGTTATGGTGTTGTATTAGTGTTGTAATATTCCGGGTAAGGTCACTTCCAGCGATGTGGTATTTGTAGAATCTGTTGGCTATTTTCAGAATGTATTCATTGATTCTGGGCAAATTACCACATCTCTCGTGGAGATCTGCCACTCGAGAGTATCTATCACCATTGGTGATAATACGGAGTACTTTGTTCTGCAGCACCTGTAACCTATTCATATGAGTAGGTGAGATGCTGCAGAATACTGGACACGAGTATGTCATCACAGGTCTGATGATCTGCTTGTACACCAGGACCTTGTTCTCCTGTGAGAGAGGTGAGGTCCTGGATAACAAGGGATACATCTTCTTGATTGCCGATCGCGTTTTTTCAATCAAATAGTTGATGTTTTTCCTGAGACTCATACGGGTGTCCAATTTGACTCCCAGGTATTTCACGGTGGTCGTGTCTGCCACCTCAACCCCTTTGACGGTCAGAGGTCTGCTCAGTCTGGAGTTGTTGACTTTTTTATGGAAGTTGATGACTTCTGTCTTCGCACTATTGATGCAGATCTTTGACTCGTCAAAGTACGGTATGATTCCCCTGTCCAGATGAGTCTGGATCTGTGCCCTGGCGATATTCGAGTTGTCCGAGTCAGACTTATTTGTCTGCCATCTTGTTTCTTTTAACCTATCTTATGTGTAAGTAATAAAACAATCAATTGGTCGCGTGCACGATGACCGACCCTGGAGGTAAAATATTGAAACATAACCTCACTTTTGTGTGAAACATTGAAACACAATCTCAATTTTTGTATTTGTTTACATATATAAATAGCTATTACTCGCCGGTCAGGTGGGCCACGTGGCAACTCGTTTGTGAGCGCTACTTCAAAAGACCCGCTCTGAGTGAGCCTTCTCGTCTGAAAGCTGTTGTTGGGTGATAACATGTACCAAAGATTTTTCTATAATAGTTTTGATAATGAAAGTGAAGACGTCTAATTTCACAATTAGTATTGATGTGTAATTTTTTTTTGTTGGATTTTAGTTACGTACTAGTCGTCGTACATACAATTTTTGCGCGGCAGATACTGCATCCGCACAAGAATGGATCGAGAAGCTGCAAGCTTGTCTATAAACAAAAATACTCCTAATCCAAAGTTAGATAATTCCTATATATATTTTTTTAATGTTAGGCTGACAATAAATGTTTTATTTTGTAGTCGTTATTTATATTTTTTTACCTATTTATGTTATACTGGTTGTTTAGGTCTCGCATAAGCGCATAATGGAACATACACTACTCAGCACAAAGCAATGAAAAGTTACCTACTTTTAGGTAATATGTAAAAAACTCGGGATTTTTTTTAGCATTCATTTTATACATTTTGTGCTGGGAAGTGTATTGTCATTCTTTGTGCTCGCAAATTGTATTGTTGAATATTTTTTCTGTAAAGAAATTATCTCTATATCAAGCTCAAATAGTTGAATAATAATATCCAATATAATATTCATAAGGATAAGATTTCAATGTTGCCATTTTACTTCACAAAATGGGTTATTGTTAGATCAGATCTTATTATATATTTTCTCGTTTTTATTCTTTTATATCAATTTAATATTCCTTGTTTTTCATACATTGGCATTCCCATTGTGTTCAACATTTCAACCTCAAGTAGCAAAATGTCCCATTCAAAGAAAAAATCAGATATTTGGAATGAATACACTAGAAAATGTTTCAGTGACAAAATATTCCTCTTAACCTCACAGCCACACCTATTTTTGAAGATTCAAAACATATCAAGAACATTTTTCTATTAGTCACCTGTTGAATTCCAAATAACAAGAATTTTTTTCAAGTTCCAGAAAATCAGCATCATTATTTTTTGGTGCACAAATTTTGATTCTGTATGATCCAGGTGTTATTTATAAAATGTTAAGACAGTCTGATTCAAATGTTATGCATAAAGACATTCCTTGTTAGACAGTCATAATGAATGAAGTTTTCCATGCTAGAATGTTTTTCCTCTTGTACCCAATAGAATATTTACATGTAGAGTATTTCTAAGAATTGTTTTGTGAAAATTGAAGGATTATATGTTGTTAAATTTGTGATATATTATTGTTAATAGGTTTCTCATTATCCTACCTTTATTATAGCTTCAATGGAATAACTAACTGCCAAAGTTAATAAACTCATTTGAGAAAACTAATGTTGCTTTATTTGGTGCATATGTAGATTGTAGGTAGATAACCAAATTTGACAGATTTCAAAAAATCAAAAGAGGGCATATAAAATATATTTCACAAAAATAATCTTCATACAATACATACACAAACTTTCAAATTCAACATACATACATAAAACTTATGAGCATTTATAACAATAGTTAATATCATGTTGAAATAAGTTAATACTTTCACTAATACATTAATGGAATGTTAAACATTTTATCAACAATAACTAGCATCATCTTAAGTACCTACATTGATAATACATTTGGCTTAATAAAATACAATAGTTTGGAAATTATATGGCAAATATGATGTATAGATGGAATTAAAAAAATAATTCTTCCTTTGTCATATTAGATATATTTCATACATCTTAGCCAGTGTACCTAATTGGCTGATCATTTCATTATGAAGTATTTTGGTAATAATATCTACTAGCCATTTTCCACCAATGTATTTTCAGTTGTTGATTGTGGTGAAATATAGCAGGATAATGGAATATCTAGCTGTCTCTCATTCAGTCAAATTATAGACCAATGTACATATTTATATTTTTCAATTTTATAACAGTATACAAAAATTGGCACAACCTCAATTTTGATATGAATTTGAACACATCACAGAAAAAGTGCATACAGTGTATTCAAGAAAAATGGTGCAAGACCTGTCATAAAACTTTTTTCTATTTCACTAATGGAGTTTTCCCTGGTTTTCAAAATGTTTGGTACTTACCAGGGTGGGGCAGATCATAAGAATTCCAGAAATAATTGTACTTATATGATTTGTAATCATCTGCAGTCTATACAGGTTGGGCTTGAACTTTGATCAGCAACTGATTGTTGTGAATGAAGTCTTGGTCTATCAGTTCCTCTAAGAGGGCAAATTCAGTATATCCAAAACCCTTTGGGTTCAAATCTTGTACAGGGCGTTTAAATGCATCTAATTCTGGACGTGTCATCATGGTTTCTTTAATAGTTTTATAGGATAGCCTAAAAATATTAATCAGTCACAAAATGGCCCTTCATAGACAGGGATCAGATGGGTAATTAACTGAAATACTGGGTACATTGATAATTAATGATAATAGGTACAAAATGAATCTTTGGTCAAGAAATTGTACTTACATTGGATGAATCAAAGCTATTGTCAGCCGTCCACTGAAAGGCCAATCTAGAGTTTGGTCATGATCAGTTTTCATGACATGTATCAAAATTGCCAGATAATTGTTGTCTTTGGGAGATAAATTCAGTCTCACACATAACTTGTAACCATTCACAGAAGTATAGAATCCAGTACTGTAATGCATCAGATGAGGATTCTCTCTCATTGCATTTATTTTGTTTTTGAAGTCATTGAAATACCACAAGAATGAACCATTGCAATATCTATGATGCAATTTTGACATGGACAGATTATTTGAAGAAATTTGCTCAGACATATTGGCTATGATAATGTCTTGCTCCCTAGATTTCTGTTCCAGAAATACAATTTTTTCATATAGTGCTCTGAAATTAGGATGAAAAAATCAGACTGACAAATATGCTTTAGAAAACAGAAATTAAAAGACACTGATGAAAGATTAAAATAGCTGAAACCCTGACCTTAGCAAGCTTTGGAGATTATCATCTAGTATACCAGAGGGGGTTTCATTTTTGGCAGGAGGGTCCCAAAAATTAGCTTGCTGAGCTATACCAGAAGAACTTGCAACTGCATTACTGTTTGCTGTCATTTTTGAATATGCTTGAGAGAGCAACTAAAAAAAAACATTGAACAAAGATAAAACTAGTGATAAATACAAATGGAGCCAATATTTACTGTCAAGTGCTTCTGAATATGCTGCTCCAGGTGCCTTTGTAATTCAGGTTCATCTTCAAATTTTTCATCACAACCCACATCAACAAAGGAACAACGAAGTTTCTCATTATCAGGCAGCTCTGGTGTTTTGTATTCACAAACCAACAAATGTGACTCAACATCTAAAGGAGAAAGTTCAACTAGACAACCACGTACTATATTTGGGCATTTGGTCCTCTGCTGTGAGATTTCTCGCCTTGTAAAATTATCTGGGAATATATCTTCCTTCTTCAGTTTCATGTTGTCAACAGGACAAGCACTTTCTCTTCTGAAATTCAATAATCAAGAGTGATGAATCATTCATTGTACTACTTCAATCTAACTTACTCTAACCAAGAATATATACAACTTCTGCAAAAACGATGACCACAGGAAGTTAAAACTGGATCTCTCAACCAGGCTAAGCAAATAGGACACTCGAATCGTGATTCAGGTGCAGAATAGGCATCATTTATAGAACTCTCCTGTGCCAAAGAAGCCTCTGTTTTACCTGTACTATATTGATCACCACTAGCCATCTCGAATTACTCAGAACTTTCCTAGAAACATGTGTATTGTGTAATGATTTAAATTATGCACTCACGGCTGTATGTATGCACCTTGGATCATTTTTTACGAGTTTTTAACTGTTTTTTTACTCACCCATAACCTAAAATACCATCACCTTCAGTTTATGTTTTTGACATAGGGCCATCATAGGACAAGCACAAAGTGAAAAACTGCTTATCTTAAAAATGGAAGAAGATGAGGAGGCATAAAGGTTATGTTTATTGTTTAGGTTACAAACGTCAAATCAAAAATTCAAAATATTTAGCTTATTATTATAATTATTTGGGAAAAATGCAGATAAAGATTTAATTAGTTGACAGTAGTATATAACATCTTTCATTAACACTTCTCCAGCCTACAACAATGATTCGTCAAGAAACGGAATCAGATATTAAAGAATCTAAGGTTCAAGAAAATTTAGCAAAATGGCAATCTACCACCGACCCTTTGGCCCCTTTGTCGGAAGAACAGATGGATTTGGTGTATGAAATGGGTGATTTAGTTAGTTCTATGTATACGAATCCAGAAGAGAATACAGAACATGCAACAGAAGTGGAAACTCTTGAAAAACCTGAATATCCACCAGTTATTCATAAAATGCAGGATTACATACAGTGGATGATAGCTGCAGAAAAAGATATAAAGCAGGAGAATTTGAAACAATATCAGATATATTCTGAACAACTTAAGAAACATCAGTGTAATAGCCAACAGTTGTTTGATCATACAAATTCTGCTTTGGAATACCTCATACAGTTGAAAAATCAATATGAAAATGTGACTGAAAAAACCAATCATTTACACTTACTTAGTGAACTACTTATGGCTAACCAACGAACCCTCAAAGAAAAGAAACAAAGCTTGAATAGCAAGCTGAAGCATTTCACAAATTTCACCAAATGCCAGGAGAGCATAGAGAGAATGGGTAACAGACTGAATAATGAAGAATGTATAAAAGTTTTAGATGAAATTGATGAGAGTATAAGCTATTTGAATGATCACTTGCATTACAAGGAATCCAGAATTTATAAAATGAAGTATGAGAGTTTGCTGAACAACATTCTCAACAAAATCTATGACTATGTCAACACTATTCTAGTTGAAACTATGAAACAAGTTGTAGACCCAGATTCAAAGACTCATATATTACCTCAAACACCAAGTGTCACTGAATCTTTAGTTGACTCTGCCTTTTCATTGTATTATGGAAAATTCCAGAGTGTATCTATCAAAATCAGGTTCATTCTAAATAGCTTGGAAGAACGTGAGGACCACAATGAACAGTACAAGAATATACTGAGTGATTGTCAAAAAACATACCTCACTCAAAGACTGCCTATAATGAGCATTGCAGTGTCTAAAGCTTTGGCTGAACTCAAAGAAAAGCATAGGGTAGACCACAGCAAGTTGTTTAGGTCATGCAGTTTGTTCACCATGAAAATCTGTCAAGATGAAGCTATGTGCTACAACTATTTCTTCACAAAACCATCCACCCAACTGAATGATTACTTAGGTACCCTATGCCAACACTTATATGACACTTTAAGACCCAATTTGATAATGATCAACCACATTGAAGTTTTGAGTGAACTATGTGGGATACTCAAGAGTGAATTGTTGCATGAAAAGGTTTTGGACAATGACCAACTACTTAAATTCATACAGGTTATCCAGCAGTTGTTACAAGATGTAGAGGAAAGGCTAGTTTTTAGGTCAAATGTCTTCTTCCAGCATGATTTACTAGGTTATAAACCTTCTCCGGGAGATTTAGCTTATCCAGAGAAACTGGAACAGATGGAGAATATTGCATTGGAACTGAGAGACAGAAGATCAGATTCCAGAAATTCTGTAGTATCATTAGAGAGTCAAGAAGTAGCTCATATTAATGCTGCACAAATGGCTCATTTTCGCTCATACACTGGTACTAAACAACTAAGTTTACATATTCAGAATGTGTATTATCTCATTTTAACTTACAGGTAATTCTCCTGCAGATTTGCATGGCATGTGGTACCCAACTGTCAAGAGAACTTTAGTTTGCCTCTCACGTTTGTATTTCTGTCTTGATAGAAATACTTTCCAAGGATTGGCTCAAGAAGCATTGGTACATTGCATTAGTACTGTTAAAACAGCAGCTGATTTGATTGCCTCCAGGAAAACACCTGTGGATGGCCAGCTGTTTCAGATAAAGCACCTGTTGATTATAAGAGAACAAATAGCACCTTTTCAGGTTAGAACAGTGCAGAAGAATATACAAATTAGTTTATTTTTTTGTACTGTACTTTCATTCTTGAATAGTTCAAATCAGCTTTTTATGATTTAAAGTTATTTAGTGAAAGAATCATTAAACAAAGGGTATGTACTTGAGAACCTAACCTCAATCAATTTGAAATGATTTTTTCTCTTGTGAATTTAACATAGGTAATAGTTTCTTACATGTGAGGCATGGTTCAACAAGAATATGAAGCTTAATGCACATGACATGCACTAACTATTTTGTATGATTAATGGCTTTTCTTAATGTTTTAGGTTGACTTTACTGCAAAAGAAACATCTCTTGACTTCAGTACTGTGCAGAAAGCTGCTTTAGAATTGTACAGTCATAGAAGCAACATTTTCACTTTCAATTCCAACAATGCTTTGCTAGAATTCCTACTAGAAGGTACACCTAAGGTGAAAGAGTACTTGGTAGACTCAAGAAAAGAGATTGACAAGCAGCTGAAACACTCCTGTGAGGAATTCATTTCACATGCTACTAGAATTCTCGTAGGTGAGATGTCCTTGGAACAGAATAGAAATAATATTCAGTTCAGACTTCAGAGTTTGCTAGGAATAGCATCCAGTTTGTCATCCCCCACCTCTCATCTTCAAGCAGTACAGTGAAAAGGAGAGAGAGTGGGGATTGGCCGACCCAATGCTATCCCTACTGATGGGCTGGATAAGAGAGTTTTATTGATTTATTTTTTGAATAATTTATTAAATAATTTTCGTAATTTGTGAAATGTAATCATTAATTACATAGTTTCTTGTTGAAATGAAATTGGATTTCAATCTTTGATTTTTATGATATTGTGTGCAGTTTTCATACTCTCAATTTGAACATTCCAGCTAATGGAATTCTGCTATTATGTGATGGTGAATGATACAATACTTTCAATAACTTGCTATTTATACAGGGTATGTCAGGACAAGCTTATACTATCTTTATATCGAGAATCAGTCGGGAGAAATCCATAAAAATGTGCATGCTTATATTTCAGAATACACTCTCTTCATTTGAAATATTTTCGACAATGCTATCTACTAGAAAGTGGTAGCAACATTGATATTTCAAATGGAACACCCTGTATTTTATCGCATTTTTAGATGCTTCCTGAAGAGCTGATTTCATTGATATATCATACTTGGGGTCTATCGAAAAAGATTACATTTTCAACTTTAGGATTTTTTTGTGTCAAAACTATCCATTATCTCAACTTTAGATTCACTATTTACTGATATTTAATTGGAACAGTTACAGGATGGTTCAAGATTTAGGATTCTGATCACCAAGAATTCTCAGGAATATTCCTTCAGTTATAGTTTTAGTCTATTGGCTTCGGAAACGTATTTTGATTAACTAAAAACAAAAAGCCATTTCCACACAATGTTCATAAAATGAACAACAATGGTGGATTTCGGGAGAAAAACTTTGCTGGGTAATGTCACGCAGATCATTGAATTCCATCCTCCCGAAATCTATGTATCGACTCGTATAAACGAATATTGATACAAGTGATTCTTTTCTGAATTTCTGAAAGAATCACTTGTATCACTATTAGTTTACACGAGTCGATACATAATTTCCGGGAGAATGTAATTCAATGTTTCGCGTGGTAAAGGATGGGTCTGAACCAACAAACGGACTGTCGGTTCTGTTGTGTGGAAGACGAAACGGCTATCGATTTCAGACAAATCTCACCCAATTCAACCATGAACTTTGTAAAAAGATGTGGATTGTATGGTGAACTGTAACCTCTAGGGGTGAGCCACAATAGACCCATCTGGGGTCTCAGTGGAGGGGAGGTATTCGCCCCACTCACATGGAACCTACCTACCTACCTACCTATTTATACTAAAAAACTGGTTTGTTTTCTTTATCAATCCTACCCCGATACGACGTTTTCACGAACTCTGTTGGCTTATATTTCAGAAACTAACCATACAAAACTATTTAAACTGACATATTTTTCTAATGAACCATCCAACAACAATAAAGTGAAATTTCAGCTAATTCGACCATGAGCCAAACATGGTTTTGTGCATACAAAACTCTTTAAACTGACATATTTTTCTAATGAGCCATCCAACAACAACATAGTGAAATTTCAGCTAATTCAACTATAAGCCAACCATGGTTTCTGCGGGGTCCTTTCGAAATTTAGATGGCACCCAGTTTAGGTTGATTGATTGATTGATTGTCTTTATTACCCCAAGAAACATTTCTGTTTATGATAGGGATACATAAATACATATAAAAAAATAATAATAAAGGGTTAACTATAATGAATTCCATAATGTATGATGAATTGATATTCATCGTATAGGTCGTGGAAAGAAATTCTGATTTGAGAAAACCCAATCACATTAATCACAATTCTGTATTGAAAAGAATATTCTTAGATACATACATATTATCATTATGTACCAATCAATTTTTTTTTCATGTTCAAAAAATATCTGAGAATATTTCTTCCAATACCCAGTTTATGTTTTTTCAGGAAACATTCTCCAATGGATAGAAAAAGCCGAGCACATCCTGAGGATCATCCGAGCCGAAAGCTCTCCATCCCAAGAACTGACAGTGTCCAGCCAGAATTTCGGCAGGCCCCGGACCGTAGCGAGCATAATCCAGGAGGCGCAGAAGAACATGAAATCGAGGATCCCGGAAATTCAACGTTCGATGCAGCTCTATTTGTCCAACAGAGAGACCGAATTTATTCTGTTCAGGCCGATCAAAAACAACGCGATAAACGCGTTCTTGCAGCTGGATCAAATTCTGCTGACAGGCGGGTATAGTAGCGAAGACCAGCTTTTGATTGCTTGCCCTTCACCTGAGCAAGTAAATATTTTGATATGTTCTGTCTCTTTGGTTGGTGGACAGGACGGTCAAAAAGCTGTTGTTTGATGTTTTTCTCCTTTATTTCAAGTTTTCTCTTAACTAGAATATAGGAACATATAGGTCATTCTCGATCTAAAAATACAGGGTGAGTTAGAATGAGACCGTCAAACTCGGTATACGGAGTATTTACTGTTAACGCCACTATGGTGTGAAATAGGCGCGGCTTCAAATATTTCTGGTAGTATACGCAAAATCACGTTTGCCTTGATGCTACCGACGGTACTCCAAATTCCCCAAAACTGTGAGATCCTCACTCTTTTCGTTGGAGGACCCTCGTTGGTCTCCTCCAGATTTTTGGTAAGCACTATACCCTTCAGTTTCCAAAGAAACTTAGTAGGGAAGGGTGAGGAACATTCATCATATTTGCTCACTATCACAGTCATTATTATTGGGTGAGTGAACTAATAATGAATTACTGGCATTCAATTACTCCACTGTATCGTTAGGGACGACTAGAGTTCCTAAATGTTCTTGACACTGCTGTTTTGACGTTTTTTGTATATTAGAGTACGGACACTAGACAAGCAGTGACAATCAAACATAACCACAAACGATTTTGAAGCAAATCATATGTTTGGCCAGACAAGGAGAAGAATATGTTTTTCGCCTAGATAAAGGATCCTCGCATCTTCCATCCTCCACAAGTCCTGGGAAGAGTACATCCATATATCTTTCTCTGTCTTTGATTTTTGTATGAGAGGGCATAGCGTCTCCTCGAGTGGGTGAAAGGGTACGATAAATTGATTAGAAAATTATTTCTTCTCGAAATATTGAATGATAAGGCTGAAGGACCTCAATGGAGGTCGATATCAAGTTAGTAGGTACATAATATACATCAACGAAATACATATAGTATTCCTATGAAATTAGTCTCTTATATGTAGGTATATAAAATCGTTCAGTTGAATATTTGTTTATCACAGAAGTTCAGAATGGGGTAAAAACTGATAAATTTCAAGAAACATACTTTTATTAGTACAAAAGAGTGGTAAGTTATAAGTAATCAATAAATAAACAAATGATATGGCAACAATAACAGCTGATTTCAGTTAGGATGAATAATAAAGGTTCTCCAAGACATATGGAAGTAGGTATGAATGGACTTCAGCGCTCGACTCACATTGCTAAAGGGTATTGTTGGTTTGAACCCGGCCATCAGAAGATCATTTTCAATCCCCAACATAAATGATGCACTCGTTAATCGTTCTTGTTCCGTGCTCTGATGATATTTTGCTCGTATCTTGGCACCCAAGAAGTGGTTCAAAATCCACTAGGAGCTATGTAGTCGTCTAGCACTTCTCAACTACGCATGAACATGCACATTCAGACTTGGGATTTCAACTTTGAAGAGGTGATACACGAACAATATTCAACTCTTTGATATAGATACATCAATATCTGGTACACCAGAGTTCCACAAAGTGACTATATGTTTTCATAAAATTATTATAAGAGCTCGTATACGAAGATGATCTAAAGAATTCTTGGTTGAACAGGGATGTGAAATCAGTTTGAGTCAGTCAATTCAGGAAGTTTCTGTTATTTCATCATCAGATGATCGACCATGATCTCCATGGTGATCTCTGCTCCATCATTCCATCAGAAGCAATAACCAGAGTCTAAATTGGAATAAGGTTCTTTTTGATACTCGCTCAGTTTATAAATTGTGGGTTCGGCTCTTTCTCTCAATACTATCCTATTCTTCAACTTCCTACCAAGAAATTTGAATACCTCGCAAATTTTGTGGCTCGAACCTATATTCCATGTCGGCTGCATCATATTCCGTTTCCATTTTTGTAGAATTACGTTATCCGATGGAAATTTGAATAGAGTGAATTGATTTCCCTTGTTCTCACAGTTGGAAACTGCACAAACTTGCATCTTTCTCCTAATTCTCTGAATTTGTCAAATTTATGTCATGTACGTCCGTGTACTGTCAGTTCCCGCTTTTTCCATCAATTCTTTTGTGGTTATGTCTGATTGTCAGTGCTTGTCATAGTGTCCGTACTCTGATATACAAAAAACGTCAAAATCAGCAGTGTCAAGTACATTTAGGAACTCTATAGAGACGACCTAACAACAAAAACTTTGAAGGAAAATGTGTCGGTCCTATTCTGAATCACCCTGTATATAACTCTTCATCAACATATAAAGTACTCTTTATATACTTGAAAAACAAACAAAAAATAACACAATAAATCTCACAAATAACAAAAGTTCTTCAAAAGACAAAAACCTGTACTATAATAGGTACAGCTACTGGTTACAATTTTAAAAATCCGCTAGATACAACATATTGAATGTTACTATAATAAATCAACATCTTATACTATTAAAACTGATTGAATACAGGGTATGTCACGACGAGCTTACACTATCTTTATATATGGCATGCTTATATTTCAAAATATGCTCTCTTCATTTATAATATTTTCGGCAATGCAGTGTTGCCGCTTCTACTAGAAAGTAGTATCAACATTGATATGTCAAAATGCAATAAAATAAGGGTATTCTATTTGAAATAACAAAGTTGATGATACTTTATGACTGAATCGATATAGAGATAGTGTAAGCTCGTCGTGTCATACGCTGTTTATAGTCTGCATTTTTTTTCAAAAGGTTCAAAGTTATGAGGTTATTTTGTTTCCTAAATGAAAATCTATTATATATATATTATATAAATCTATTGTTAGGCGATATTGTTGACCCAATATATATTTCTGCCTGTCAATTGCGCTAGTTTACTGAAAACATCGAGAGCTCATTTGTTTCAATAGAATATTTGTCAAAATGGACAATTTTAGGTTGAAGTTTTCAAAACGTCATCTCAAATAAAATACAATTTTGATTTGATTGTCTTTAATTTGGAGTTGGTGTTAGTTTGTTGTTTATTTGACTTTCATGTTCCATTTTGCAATTCAACAAGACGTGGAAGTATGTAAGTTCAAGTTCTTCAACACTCCTTTCTCAACGATTACGATTACGTGAATTTGAGGCAACATGCAATGACTTTCAATAACATCAGGTAGGAGTTTCTCTTGAGTCAGAATTATTCAAAGAATTCCTGTTTGTATCAGAATTCTTCATTTGAAATGTATGAGAAAGTGAAATCGGAGAGAATGTTTTAGATAAGTATACGTGCGTATGATCTAAGACTTCGTCAGATGAAATCTTATTCACAAAGGTCAGGCAACAAGAAATTCATGTATCCTATATGGACTGGACGCACTTCTACAACCAATATAACTTCTTATACGCGTCTCATTGGTTGCATGCAGTTGCAGTATTATGTGTTATGTTCTCAATTCCCATTCCCTTCGAATTATTTTGTAGGTTAGCAGATAGGTTAATCTAATTTTCGGAATTATGGAATCTTGTCGAAGAGAGGAATTATGAGTTCGTAGAAGAAGTATAGTATGTAACGCGTTCATTAACTCTTCTAGACACTCGTTAATTAAACACTTGCTCCGTTCTGCTGCGCTCGTGCTTGAAAAGTTTGTAGCACTTCCCACTAAGCAGATTTGGAAGCTGTGTTGATGCAAGGTTGTAGCAATTTCTGAAACGGACGTTCAGCAATATTGCAAATGTAAATTTGTGAATGTAACGTTTCAGCAATGTCACAGTAACATGTTATATTGCTGCAACGCTACATTGTCAAACTTCACCTTTGCAATTTTGCAGGACGTCCGATTCAGTAATTGCTTCATCATTGCATCAACATAGCTTTCAACATTGCTTAGTGAGTTGGAACATAATATAATAAAGTTGATGTAGTAAGTTATTATTAACAATAGCAATGTGAATTAGCAGTTTCTTTCTTTTTATTCTTATCTTGCATACCATCATTTCGATAAAATGTCCGAATCTGCCCACAGAATACGTGGTCACCCGGTATATTGATTTTATGTTTCTTGTTACTGTTGTTGACAGAGAATAGCTGTAGATGTAATAAAATTATTCCCCTCAGATTGATGGTGACTGATGCCCAATAAAACCACTAATGTTATTTTTATGGTTTCATTTGGACGTAGTGCTTCACAATTCCTTCTGAGAATTAAGTATTAGCCAGATTTTTATTGGATTCGATTTAACAACTTGGGAGTCAGATAATTGATATTTTCCATTTTCTAGAATGAGATGTTAATGATATCCATCAGTTTCCTCCTCATTCGAAAATGACCTTACTTGGTGTGAGTAGTGAAAGATTGGATTTCAAAAAAAATATGGAGCAGATTTATAAAGAAATTCGCATTTCCTTCTCAAAACATCCCTTTAACAGGTCAATTTTGTTTTTCGATTCCACATATTTGGAATTTTTATGGATGATATGTGGATTTGAGCAATATACATATGCTCATATGTCAAAATGACTCACGTCGTCGTCAAATAGCGTTTTCCGTGTAGGAGTTGATTTATCAATTGAAAAATCGAAAACACCAACCCTGGATACTATTATACCCAAAAAGGTACATTCAAATTCAGTTTAATCAATTCTAAAGCTTATACATCTTATTGATAGAATATATATGAGCTCCTAAACCGAAGTTTGTGATGAGCTTATGCATTGATTGATTTTTTTTTTGTAGTACATGAATCTACAGGGTGAGGTTTTTTATTTAACAGAGGGTATATATCTCGCCAAAATAAGTTGTTTGGCCAAAAATTCTTTATGTTAAAAATGTGAAAATAGGTTTTTGATTAATTTTTCTGATGAAATATTGCAACTGTAGGATATCTAATGCTGAACTAATATTGGATTTTTTGCGTTTATTGAGAAAATGTAAACAAAATGTTTTATAGTCGGAGTCTTCTTCATACCTTTAAATACCTGTAACTCCGTTATCTTGAATATTTTATGTCATCAATCGTTTGCCAAACAATTTATTTTGATAAGATATATATCCTGTTTGAAAATAAACCTCACTTTCAGATTCACCCTTTATATGTGATATACATTCGGGAATAACAGTACTCACTTTTTCCGTGGGAAAAATAGTTATTTATTATACAAAGGAAAAAAGTAGTAGATTTTAGCTCCAGGTTGTGTTGTCTCCCGACGCGTTGCGCAGGGAGACAAAAAACCGTGAGCTAAATTCAAATATTTTTCCCGTGTATAATACATTTTTTTTTTCGTGACAGAAGAAAGGACGAATCAATATTGAGAAGATATTACATTATTTTGAAATCTGAAAATTATCGACGTGAAATTTTAAGTTTTTAACAGTAGAGACACCTGCGTTGTAGGCATCTTTATCATTCTTTTGTAGTACCTAATCAAATATCTGATGTCACTTCTGTCAGTCTAATTCTGTGATTTGATTTCAAAAAATTGCGAATTTAGTGGTTCTTTAGTAA